TGCCTCCTCCGTGACCTGCTCTTGTCCGCACTCGGGATCGTCGCGTTGAACCCTCGGAGCAGGCTGACATTCTGCGCGATGCCCTGGGGCTCCGGGACCTCCTCGTCGAGCAGCTCGTCCGTCGCCTCGACGATCTGCAGGTCACGCGACGTCATCCGCCGGCTGTTCACCGTGAGCCGCAGTGGTGCACGGCCGAGGGCCGCAAAGTCCATCGTCGAGATTGCGCCGGTGCTGCTCGCGATGGCGTCTCGTTTTGCGGAGGCGTTGGCGACGCCGTTGATCATCCTCGGCGTCATTATCACCGGTGCCACTACACAGAAGGAGTCTCACTTTGAACTTTGGGGCTATAGCAGCTTTGTGAAGGAGACGTACTGTCTGAGAGTAGTTTGCTTGTATCAGACCTGCGCGACGTAAACGGGGAGAGGATGGCATGCGACATGGCGTCGAGCCTACTGCGTGCAGAGGTGCCTTCGGCGAGGTCCTCGACGGCGGCACGGGGCTCCCGCCTTTTGCTGGAGCTGGATGCGGCCATGGTCGGGCAAGAGTGGTTTGAAAGCGCAGGTCGACCGTTCGCGTCCAACGCGGTAAGCGTACCAGGGTCGGCAGTCTCCGGCACGCTTTGCCATGACGGCCGCTCCTCAAATCACACGCGCGGAAGCAAAAGCCACTCTAGCGTAAAGATACATGCGTTGCGGATATTAGGTATGTACACTAATGTAGTATGCAAAAGACAGTTATGGTATTCCCTACGGTGACCGCGGCCAGCTGAAGTCTACGATCATGTCAAAGCCATACGGCCGCAAGTCGTACTGTTTAAAGAAAGAGCCCGGTTCTGCGTTCGCTTCGTTTTCAGCTGCACGCAACGAGTAAGTCATCGGCGGTGGGGTATCCGGTGGGACGTCGACCGTTGACGTGGCAGTCGAGTTTGCGGCTATGTCAAGGCCGTTCGATAGGCCAAGCTTGCGCTGAACCGCGGAAAAAGTACCGGCAGTGCTCGAGAGAACGCTGAAGCCCGACGTCGCGTTTGATTTCACCGCCGAGTTGTCCTCCAAGTCCAAAGTCTCCGTGGCCGACTGAGAGTTGTTCATACCCCGGTCCGTCCACCTCTGCTCCAGCTCCGTCTTCAGCTTCTCCACGCTGCTCCATTCCCATCGTGTCGAGTTGAACGGCTCAAAAAAGCCCATGGACAACTCGCACCAGCAGCGGTCGGCGATGGGCATTGCGGCAGGAATTAAATCGGCAGGGAGATCGGGCACGCGCGATAGCAGTGCCTCGCCGAAGGTCGTTATGCTATCGGACCAGGGTTTGCTAAGCGGTGTGTCAAGAGATATTGGAGGCCAGTAGCACGAAGCCATAAACATGGCGGATAGCAGCATTATGCAGTAAAAGCTACGACGAATTAGACAACGCTGATTGCGAGGATAAGACCACATACCATGGCCTAGCGTGCAATGTCGTGGAGAGCAGAAAGAGTACAAGAAAGTATGGTGGGGCGATGGGCAAAGGTAAGAGCACCAGTGGCAAGTACCATCGCGTACACCTGTAAACCCGTAAGTCCTTCTGAGAATATCGGAGCAGAAGGGTGCATATACAGACCACATCGACTGGAATAATGTGCTACTGCAAGGAAGTGTGCCACGAACAGTAAAGGTTGTGACGAAGAAACCAAGGTGTCTTGAAGCGCCGGAAAGTTCAGTGATCCATAACTCAGCACGTGCTACAAAGCGCTTATATCAAATGACGCCCATGGACTAAGCGTCTGCGCGTACGCGTGTTCTGCACCGTTCTGGAGGCTTCCACCCCCTCAAACGAAGCTTTATTTCGCCGCCGTAAACGACGAGCAAACACCCACTCACATCCCGCAAAAAAAAAAGATGCCGACTCATCCAGAAGTACTGTGGGCTCAGCGCAGCTCCGAGTCCGACGAGACCAAGGTGTGTCTGCATCGCATGCGCGATCGCGTTGGCCTTGCTGATTGCGCTCGCGTTTGTGTCTGCAGAACGTCCTTTTTCTTACCATAAACTTGCCCGACATCAAATCTGAGAGCTTGAAGTACGAGCTCACGCCGACTTCGCTCTCGTTTGCTGCCACGGCGGGAGCGTAAGTGTACGGCGCTTTGCATTCAAAGCCTCACGCTGAATACATGGCTCTGCAGGCAGGAAGCGAGGGACTATGAGCTCAAGCTTGACTTGTTCGAGGAGGTTGACCCCGAGGTACATAATCTCATTGCGCCTAAAGGCATACGTCATACTGAAGTGCTCCATGCAGCAATCAAAGAGTCATCTGACAAGTCGCTCGTTCACGATAGTCCTCCGCAAAAGGGAGAAAAAGGCAGGCTACTGGCAGCGCCTCACGAAGGAAAAGATCAAGACGACGTACATCAAGACAGACTTTAGCAAGTGGGTCGACGAGGACGAGCAGGATGGCGACACTACTGCAACGGCGGATGACTTTGATATGGGCGGCATGGGCGGCATGGGCGGAATGGGTGGAATGGGCGGAATGGGAGGTATGGGAGGCATGGGCGGAATGGGTGGAATGGGAGGTATGGGAGGCATGGGAGGCATGGGAGGCATGGGAGGTATGGGCGGCATGGACTTTGAGCAGGTAAGCTCGGCTCAACATGACACGCTGTGCGCACGAGCTGACAACGTTCGTTCAGATGATGAGCTCCATGGGCGGCGCAGGCGGCCTCGGTGGCCTCGGCGGGGGCGCCGGCGAACCGTCAGGGGCAGCGGGAGACGACTCTGACGGCGAGGATGACGGTGAGGGTCCGCCGCCACTGGAGGAGGCCGAGTCCAAGGCATGAACCGGCAGAGACGGTAGAACAAGTTAATAATCACGTCGTGTATTACGCTGCAATGACAATTTCTTGGTGCTCACGAGGGTTCGGGCAGGGCCGACGTGACATAAAATTATAAATTGCGTCCAGGAGGGCAGCTAGAAGACGTGGATATCGTAAGAGGAGGACAGACGACGTCGGACTGTGGACAGCGTGTGCTGCACATAAGCTATGTCCCCAGGCCGGCGGAGGATAAAGGTTCTAGTACGAGGGGTCGGATGTTGACCGATCGTACGGTTGCATCTTGGAGATCGGCGGGTGGAAGGCACACTATAGTTTATATGGACAAATTAGCCATCTACCGCGCTGATGCGTTCCTGTGAAAGGACGATGATGATTCGCCTGATTCTCCGGCCTACGTCAAACAGCCGTATGGCTGGTCCACACTTTCTGGCGACCGGCACGCAGCCATCGCTTACCGCACCAATTGCCAGAGTCTCCGACCTATAAAGCTCCCAGTCCTCCTCCTCCGACGCCTTTCCCGCCCCGCCCATGTACCTGTTCGCTCTTTATTGAGTCCCTCCCCCTCCTTCCCCTCCCCTTTCCTTTTCACCAGGACTCGCCAGCCTGCATGGATGGGGCCGGCTCCAGTCTCAGCTCGTCGGTCGTACGGTACTTCTATCTGAAGCAGGTCACATCGTACGCGGCCACTTCTTCGATGGTCTTGCTCCTGCAAGAGTTCTGTGAGTCAAACACCCTTCCCGTCGTCGGCCTCTTTTGTTCTGACCCTGCCCCAGTGTCATCTTTCAGCCAGGAGGTGAGCGCCCTGCCGTGGGAAGATCCATTTTTGTGATCTGCCAGACGCTCAAACAACCCTTTGATCCGCTTTTCCGGTCCAGGTGCAGCTCGTCTGGGTAATTAGCGTCCGTGTGTGCGCGCGCCCAGCCCTCCTCACAGAGTTTTCTGCAGCTCTCACCATGGTCGTCGTCCAAAATAGTGTACCTCGTCGCAAGTGTCTTGTTCCCATTCATCCCGCCTACCGACCTAACAGCCAATTTTTAGAACCGGTACTCGTCCATCCTGATGGCCTCCACGTACTTGCTCAGTGCGCCTACTTTCATGACAACCCTCCCCCGAGGATGACCCGCTGATTCAATCGTTTTAGCTCTTTTTTTCGGCGCGCACACTTCCGCCAGGTATGTGTCCGAAATTTTATCTGTGAGTCTGGTCAACTGACTTTTGTCGGCTCCGGTAGATGTCAGTACCCTTACTCTACCTCCCGCGCCCATCGGCACTGATCGGCTCCTTTTTTTCAACAGGCGAGGTTCTTGGAGTCATAAACGGCTGGCAGTGTACGTGGTTACAGCTGCCGGCTCCGCACAATTTTGATTGATTGCACTGCCCATTTAGCTTGGATCAGTACATCTTTGGTCCAACGTGAGTAACCGCAGAAATGGTGATTTCTATCTCGGCCGCGTTCTCAAGCCGCGCACTCTCCTCCACCAGTAGTCCTGCAGATTTGGCTGTATGCTCTGTACAATCATAGTGAGTGGCCCACGCGTCCGGCCGCTAACACCTCTGACCGTTGTCCTGCAGATCGACGACCCCTCTACGTTGTCAGCTTCGTTTATGCCGTCCTCACTTTCGCGGTATTAGCGACCGTCATGCCTTTTGGTGGGAAGATCCGCTGTGAGTGCTCCCGCCGCCATTGATTTCGTTCTCGCAGCGCCCTGACCTACCACTGTGCGGGTCCAGTCGTTATGTTCTACCCGATCTGTGTTCAGGCTCTTGCTTCCAGTTCTGGGGATTCAGATGATTCGCCGACACTCCAGGTTGATCTCGACAGCACGACCAAGTTTCCGGACTGGATCCTGGGTCTCGTGTACGTGCAGTCGGTTGCTGTTCGCGCAGCAGGTGCTTAAGTGCTTACAAACGACACGCAGGTTGACGTGGTCCATGTTCACGGTCCTTCTCCTGGTGCTTATTGCGTACAAGGTGTGGCGAACCTTTCGGCGGCAGGCCCTCCCTGGAGGGCATGACGACGAAGGTGGGGGCCTCGCCTACATCCTTGTTCGCGATTCACTTTGTTACGGTGGCATGTAAGTGGCCTCATCGCCTGCGACAACCCACTCAGAAGCTGATGTGACGCCGACAGTATCTTCATGGTTGTTCTTACGAATGTAGCGATGACCATCTTCGCGCCCACGGCCCTGTACCCGGTTGGTTACGGTTTCGGCGTTGTCCTGCCCTGCATCCTGAGTTCGCGGATACTGCTCAACCTCAGGGAGTGGGAGAAGTACAGAGAGGACCGTGTCGATGTGCAGGACGTGAACCTTAGCGAGTGGCCGACCATGTTCCATCTCACGGACCACCACCACCACTCGGACTCGAGCGATTGAATACAATTTAGTGTTTTTGGAGCGTACCTTGCGTCGCCGCTTCGTCCGCTGCCGCCGGCGCTGTCTCCCGCGGGAGAACCACGCATAGCCTGCCGCGCCGATTAGGTGTGTCAACATGCCTGTCCCGTTAGCGGCGCTGTCCATTCAATTGCTGCGCCTGCAGCAACCACGGGGGTACCCTTCACGCACGCCGACGTGGCGTCGAAGCCCACAAGTGACCCCGAAAGCAAGATTGACGGCTAGTACCCCGGGTGCGATTGTTCAAAAGGCCATAAGCGGTGTTCCTGGGCAGCCGTAGTAGTGCCGCACCGTTTCCTGCTGACAACGGCATCAACGAGGCTTGGGCAGGAAACCCCGCCAATCCAAGAAGCGTTAGCGAGCAGGAGCACGGACATAATCACGCGTAGGCGAGGGTAGAGCGCTAAGGGTCAGTCCACCGTGTACAATTTTTTTGCTCGTACGTTTTCCGATATGATAGCTGTTGTCGGTACCCCCTGTTGTCAATAAACGTCTGTGTCCCGGTTCGTCCGTTGTAGCTTATTCGGTGCCGGATAGATGCCCTGCCCGTTCGGCCTTCCTTCGCCGCTTGGTTTACCCATGAATCTAGACAATGTCTGTCTATTTTCTGCTTTCGCGCGGCCCTCGTCCGATAACGGGCAGCGGCGGGTGGCCCCGTCGATGCAATATCTCCGAAATGTTCGGAATGTTCCTTTGTGTCGTAAGGTTCCTACCTCATCAGACACACTGGCATGCACTTGAGACCAAACGGGACGTGTGAGGTCAAGCTTTTCAGCAATCTTCCATGTGCAAATGAACCATTGGTGCAATCGCACCGCGCAGTTGCCGATATTGTCCGTCCCGCGCCCGCTGTCTTGGGCGCCCCTCAAATCAACTTGCGGGTAGTTCCACTGCCGTACTGGAGCAAGAGACAATGCAGGGCTAATATTACACCGAATAACACAAGATGTAGGAATGTGAACGGTGAGATCACGATCTGTTCACAGCCTCACAGCCGCCTGACAGACCAAGCCATGATGTGCACCTTCACGCCCTCTGGCATGTCCCTCCGCTGGACCTCCTTCAGCACGGCCCTCGTCTCGATCTTGCTCTCCCCAAATACCCCTTTCCAGAGCGTCTTCCAGCTCTCTGGATTGTGGCAGAACATGGGTAAGCCCTCGGTGTTCGGGCGCGCACTCTCGAGGCGCAGGCCCTTCTCGGGCCTCCCGATATGTGACCCGAAGATGAACGAGCCCGGCGCGGGTACGAGTAGCGACGCAAGGCGGCTTGCGAGCTCGCTCTGGCGCTCCCCGTCGAAGAGGTGGAAGAACGAAGAGGCATAAATCACCGAAACTCTCCCGCGGAGCGGTGTGAGCGAGGTCAGGGCAGACAGGTCCACTGGTTGCTCACTGCCCGCTGCCGGGGTATCCAAAGACTTCAAGGTCGCAATGATTCCACTGTATGTGAGGAAGGTGTCGTCGAAGGCATCACTTGCAATGAACTTGACCGGGAATGACTCGGGCGTGGATTTGAACACTTTGTGGCCTATGCCCCAGAACTCTGTTGGTAACACGCTCAGCTGAAGGCCGCTACCAAGGCTCGGGTACGCTTACCAGGATGGAGGTCCGAGGCGATGATTTGATTGGCTGGGAATCCGTCCAAGACAACCTTCCTAGTGTCATGGCCAACACCGCAGCCAACGTCGAGAAATAGCACGCCCGGG